CTGCGACAGAAACGAATAACGGCAACGTTATCGTCGGCTGATAGATATGAACGGTGCCGTTACTGAGCAGCACGCAATGCACGCTCTAGCGTAGGGCGTAAAATTTGGAAGAGCAGGCGTCTAAAGCATGTCGCAGGATATGAATAATAAACAATACCGAAACAGAATGCGATAACTGTAGAGTATCGTTGAGAAAGCGGAAACCGCGAGCGCGAGTTGTCGAGATAATAGAATTAATTGGACAATAGAATCCTCTTGTTCTACGCGCCTGAAGATTTAACGTCTTTGGACTTTGATAATTCAATCATCTACGATTTTAAAAAATTCATCCGATTTTCGTGACATTTATATACGCCAGTATTTATTAAGTTGCACCTCAAAGCGCGATAGAAATTGCTGCGTCACCAGCGCGGTTCCAATTATCCCTTTAATGTCCGACAGTTTAATGATATTAACCGCCGTGTTAATTTCGCATTTCGAAATACTCTATCAAAATTCCACTTCTTCAGCCGGAGTGATGCGGCGCTATCATCGCGATCAACGCGCTCACGATAATGCGAAATAATTTAATCGCACGAGCGCATCGGGGAGACGGGGCGGGGCATAAATAAAAGCGAAATACGTTAAAGCAGGAGCACGCACAGTTTCAGCCTGCATCCGGGCAATTAGAAAACATTTATTACATCCTATCGTACTTGTTCGCGCAAACCCGGAAACATTCTTCGCGCTTTATACACTACGTACCGCGGGGCGCGATTATACGAACGATATCCCTGTATCATGAAGCTGCGGTAAATGTTTCGAATAGAACCCGCCGTTAGCTGAAAGACCTTTGTGAGCCGGGTAAACCCGGCGAAAGCGTAACTACCTTTTACGTTCGCCGGTTTGCCGCACAAGCTCGATGCAAGTTTATTTACGGACACCTGCACGCTCATTCGCGTTCAGATTTCGCGCTGCCTGCATCGCCGGCCTCCTCTCGGGACACGTCCGACACGGTGCAGTTTGTACGTCAACTTCTTCCACTTTTTGTTTTCCTTCTTTTTTTAATGCCACGCGAAGGGTAAATAACGCCACCCACTCGTGACAAAAGGAGCAAAATGACAAACTGGCTGCGAAAGAGGAGTGAATATTAAATTTGCGTCCATACAGCCCGACTAAATTTACCGCGCCCGGCTAATTAAATCGACGACGAATCCCGCCGTGCGCACCGCCGTTTTCACCCGGCGACTTTTTCACGTTCTCTGTACGCACTCGGCTGTATGCACGCGATCGTCGCTTGTCGGCAATCAGGGCAATCATGTATAAGGGAATTCTAAAGCCATCTGTTTTATCGACATGCTTTATTAGAAGTAATCTTTTAATTGGCTTTATAGAAACGCAAAACAAATGTTTCAGACAAAAGTTGTATGGTTTCGAGGGGGACATAAGATGGTACCATTGGTTCAACCTTGAAGAGTTATTTGAAAGTCACGTGAAGGTCACCTTCAATTTTTTTAACGGAACCTCCTACTGTTCATCATACTATCTTATTCTACTAATTAATATGAACAACTTTTGTCTGAAACAATTTTTGATTTGCCTAATACTTTTTGGGATATTCAAGAAAAAATTTATAACTTTTTCAATGGTTAGCTTATGATATCTCGATAACGGTTTGTCGGAGGGAAATGTGGTACAGGACTTTTTATACTTGATTTCGTCTCAGGAATGTGCTGTTGCAATAGTGCTCCAATTGTTGAAAATTTTTGTGTATGTTACAATACAAAATGAGATCCAGCATTCTCTAAGGGCAATATATAAGAGCAATATCGTGCAATTAGAACTAAGATTAATAGCCTAAAAAAAAAGATTGCTTCTAACAAACGCAAGTGCAGAAGAAGAGAAAAAGAGCAGTAGTGTAGAAATAGTTGTAGGCTTTTTTTAGAGAGGTCGCTGCCAAACATCTGTCAGAATGTCAGCAAAACCATGGTGTTGACGATGCTAGAATTCGATCCAAAATCTCGGCCTGAGCAATGTGTAGCTTATAAAATTGTTGCTTTTTCATAAAAGTTGCAAATTGATTGGCTACAAATTTCTCGGACGGAGTAGAACTTGGAATTAAAAATGTCGATAATTGACGTTTTTAATTCCGTCTCCTATCTTATCAACGCTGATTGAGTTTGCCAGCGGCTTTAGGATTCCCATAATGCAAATTATCGCAAACCGCCTAGAACGCGTTCGCAATTGTGAAAAATGCATTCTCGATACGGGTGTTTAACGTGACGTTAATTTAAGAAGAATTAAAAGCTGGTTAAAATAATGTCATTTAACATCACTATGTGATCGATAAATTCCTTAAAAAAAATTGATGAAAACGTCGCGATGCCGCATTTGTCCCGGCGTTACTTAGTTTTTTTTTAAGGTTACATTAACTGCATAACTTTGTTAAGACCTTCGCACAGACTTTCCGTAAAACGTAACAAATCGAACCACGCAATTGGTCGAAACCTTACTGTTACGTTTCACGAAAAGTGTGTGGGAAGGCCTTTATATAGCTTTATCGTGTATACGTTTTTAGTATACTAATGATATTTCCTCACGCCACTTTGTATCAATAGACATATATTTTTTCGTCGTATTATCCTCAGGCAAAGAAATACAGTCGAACTAGCCTTCAAAGAAAGTTGGGGGTAACAAGAAAACGTTACGTTTGCCAACGGCGCGTTTATTTCTTAAAGAGGAGAGGGAGGAAGGGGAGGGGGGAGAAAGAAAGAGAGAGAAAGCATGGCGCATCCCTCCTTGGTAAATTTATCCGCAAAACAAGCAATTCGACGAGTTCGTATTTCACGTGAAAGCACGGCGCGCTTGGTCTATTGCGATAGAATTAAGACCTGGGAAATTTACTAGGCGACAAGATAAACAATGCCGGGGCCATTAATATTTCATTAAAACTCCTCTAAAAGTACAATGTCGTAACTTTTGCTCCGGGCGTCAGTGTACAACAATTCGAACAATATGAAAAATGTATCTTCACAGGTAGCAAAAAAGTGCCAGGTGTATTTTTTTACAACTATAACGGACACGCGTGATTGAACAAAGTAATCTCGAGACCAATAATTTCCGACAAAAAAAAAGAGCGCTCTCCACGGGCGCATCGCCCGCTCATCGCGATGTTTTCCCGCAACGAAAAGCGCTAAGTGCTCTCTCGTAATCGACACTGAAATTCCCCTCTAACACGCGCATAACTCGACCGTCGATTGAAAATCGATACTAGATTAGCCCGTCAAATTAACCGCGAGTGCCTCATATAATGTATGGCAGCCCCCGTAATCGGACGCGAAAGTAGCCCGCACGCGGAAAACACGGCTCGCGGAGAGGTTACGCATGGAAACGTTACACATGGCCGCGAACTAACAACAATTTAGCGATCGTTATCCGTTAACCCGTTGCCGGTGAGCGTGCGAATCGACGAGATCGGAGGGAGGGGGAAGGGGGAGACAGAGGGAGGAGAGGGTTGCACGCGCGTGCATCGGAGGGCGGAGGGTATTACGCATTGCGCCAACGATAATTTCGATCCCCGCATCGCGAGATTTCTGCCAAGTCCTCTCCTCCCCGCCGCCGCCGCCCAGAAATTTCCCCAATATCCTCGTTTCGGTAAGTGCTCGCCGCCGCCGCCGCCCCTCCGGTAATTTTTCACGTCTCTTTTTCCACGCTCCGTCGGGGAATAACAAATGGCGCTGATCTCACTGTCATGTATAATGCACAGATTTACAGCATCCCGCTATCTGGCACAGCTATACCGTCCGAAGCCGCCGCTGCCCTCCCGACCTCCCCCCCCCCCTCCCCCGCCCTCTCCCCATCCCCGCGGCCGCCCATCCCGTCGCGTCCGCAAAAAAATGCAACGGACGTTAACATCCGCGGCAAGTAATATCCCGTATGGCGGCGCGCGTCATTTTCTCCGGGAAATCGGGCGCCCCTTTTTTTTCCCTACCTCGCCTAGCAGCGGACGCGCCCGGGACAGGGGCGTTTTTCGGCCCCGGGAATATCGCCGAGAGGAAGAACGTTGTGAGGAGGGTGAAACGAGATCGACGCGAAAAGAAGGGACCGGGCACAAAATGGGCGAGAGGGTGGGGAGAGGGGGGAGGGGAGGAGAAGACGAAGAAGAAGAAGAAGAAGAAGAGGGAACTTGATTGCGCGGGGATATTCGAGGATATCTTGCCCCGCGGTAAAACTGACATCGCCCTGATAAACAACGCTTGTCTACGGCTGCCGGGATGATAAGAGCAAAGCCCGGGAATTAGCTCAAGTATCGCAACTTGGTATCTGGGTCAACGGGCAAGTTTTTATTTCGCTCTATCTGGCAACTCGTTAAGGATTTACATTTACGAGACTAACTATAATCTAGTTCTGTACGCCGTAAGTTTCGCGCAAGCCCCAACCGACGAACGGTTAAGTACCTCCGAAGCTACCCCTTAACGGTGCGCTACAACGATGAAATATTTAGCGCGGTATCAAAGATCGGTAATTGTTTCTAAAGCTAAGGCGGATACACCGGATACCTATCGTCGGGGTAATCTTGTTGCGCGAAGTGAGATTGTGTTATCGAGGGCAGTTTCGTGGCGCGGCGATGAACGATGTGTTTCAGAGAGGTAGTTGTATCGACGAAGAACAGAAATGAATTAATCATGATTGCTTTAACGCCAAGTAATAAAGGAGTAAGAGCCAAGTGCGTAGTATGGAGGATTATAAATAATTAAGAACAGAAATGAATTAATCATGATTGTTCTAACGCGAAGTAGTAAAGGCGTAGGAGCCAAGTGCGTTCCTTGTATTGAGGGTTTATAAATAATTATAATATAATTATATATAGCAATACTATATATTGCATATATAATTAATAGATAAACATTTTGTGCGCTTTATAAATATATAGCCGGACGCGTCTCTTGAAACTGACCATCACTCGTACGGTTTTCGCGAGGTCCGACAAATATAAATTTAATTATCTTGCATTATTGCAG